TTAATTTTAATTTACAAAAAACTTCATTTTTTTTTAAATTTTATTATTATTTCATTAAATATTAATTTTAACCATTAACTGTTTAATTTTAAAAAAATTAAGGAAATTGAAACCAAAATGTTAATCGATTTTTCCTCCCTTACTTACATAGGAATTGTTTCTATGCGAGTGTATGCATGTCTATGCGTGTCTATTCGTGTCTGTGTAAGCACGTATGCAGTACAAAGTTCAACCAAAGCAGCGGCAACAACAACAGATGCGGGCAGCGCTTAAGCAGAGAGAACCTATATATGGCTATAACTTTTAATATCGGCATATCATGATGAAATTTTGCATACGTACTCATAATTACTAACTGGAAGTATTTGTCCAATTTGACTCCGAAATTTTCAGAATTACGGGAGTTATGAAAAATCAGTAAATGCGAGGGAGAGGTGGAAGGGAGGGATATTCTGAAATGCAAATTTTCTGCGTATTTATATAAGATCCGGGTTTTCATACTGACAGAAGGACGGATGGACAGATAGACAGACAGGGGTAGATCGACTCGTTTGTCATGCTGATCAAAATTATATATACACTTTATGGGGTCTTCCACGCCTCCTTCTGCCTGTTACACACATTCACATTTGTGAATTAAAAAAAAATGAATGAATTATTTAATTAAAAATTATGGAATAGACAAAACTACAGCTTGAGTTTTATTTATTATCAAGAAAGTAAAACTCAAAAACAATCATTGCATTTTGAGAGAACCAATAAAAATTCAAATTTATAAGTCATGGTGAAAATGCATGGATCCTTAAAAAAGGAAATCTGTAAATTCCTTTTTTTCTTAAAAAAAAAAATTATTATTGGCGGTCCCCGATATTAAGTCTCTTCCTAAAGAGCTGGTATTTATGTTTCCTGATTATACAGTACAGAGTTCTGGGGCCATAAAATAAAATAATAATAACACCAAGCTTACTTATTTTAGCTCCTTTAATTTCCGATTCTTTGTGACAAACAGGCAGACGAACAGACAGTGGGGCATGACTACATAGACTCGTCATACTGATAAATAAGTATATATACTTTGTGGGTTCAGTCACGTCTCCTTCTATGTGTTACATACTCGTACACTAAACTATTATACTTGTATACCCTTTAACACTATGGATAGAAGGGTATACAAAAAGTGACAGACTTGTAGAATGGAACTAGAAAGGATCGATAATTTTATGTTCGGGATCGAAAATGTTTTCAGCCGCATTAACAACCCTTGCAGATGATATACTGGTAGTATGCATCTAAAGGTTTCCTGAACCGGTTCGAAAGGTATGCAACAATTTGAACTTTATTTTGCGTCTATGGCAAGAGATTGTTAGAAATGTATTTAAATTAGGAGTCTCTTGCTCAAAAGCTGGTATGTATTATGCTTCCTGATCATAACCAAAAATCGACTAGGAGTACCTGTGGTCAGAGATACATACTCCAATAAGAAATACAGGAACACTGGGGGCTTATTCCTAAAAAATATTAATGAAGACCAGCATTGCAAAAAGCTTGATGCTGTTATGAAACAAGTAAGGTCCACCAATAGGCTAGGTTAGTCAATAATGGCTCGAGGATACATACATATACATACACATAAATTGTTACATTAAAAAATATAGAAATAATAAAAATAAAAGTCACAAATAAACATATAAATCTCATTTCAAAACTGATTACATTGATGCCTTTTTATAGTACAAGTAAATTCTAAAAGTTGTGAAACTAAATTACTTAATTCTTAAAAGTATTATATTTAACAACTGTTTCTCTTGCTAATGATATTAAAAACAAATTCATAATCTGAAAAAACGAATCTATAAGAAATACAAAATAAGAAATATTCGATCAATAATTTTTAAAATAATTTGTCAATAAAGAAATAAATCTAATATAAAATATACCTGTACTGGTATACAAGGAGCGTTCGAAAGTAAACAGGACTTTTTGAATCTAGCGCCCCCTGGTGGCGCTATTTATATGTCGACTGGTGCGTTAGAATCTGCTATCTTTATCGATTGTCCAGTGATTTCACTAGACTGAAGCTATAGCGTTTTAAGTTTCACTATGTTTGTGTTATCGGTGCGAAAATGAGCTTCGAACAAAGAGCCAACATTAAATTTTGTTTTAAAATTGGTAAAACTTATACCGAAACGTTTCAATTGATGCAACAAGTTTATGGCGATGATTGCCTATCCCGTAGCAGAGTGCACGAGTGGTTTCAACGGTTTCAAGGTGGTCGTGAGGACATTAATCACGATCAACATGTGGACCAATCAAAATTCGTGATCACCGAAAATTTCTGAGAATCGTCTCATCGATCGTGACCGATTATTTGACCAAAAATCACATTTTAACCATTAACCACTCGCCGTATTCACCTGATATGGCACCGTGCGGCTTCTACCTTTTCGGAAAAATGCATTTGCCCATGAAAGGAAAGCGTTATGCAGACGAAGAGGCCATTCAAAAGGCTTGCGGCATACTGGCGGCCATACCGGCCAACGAGCTAAAACACTCGTTCGACATGCTTTTGGATCGTGCAAAAAGCTGCATTGAAGCAGAAGGAGACTATTTTGAATTAAAAAAACGATGTTGCCGAAAACCAGTTGTTCTTTTTTTTTTTAAAAAAAAGTCCTGTTCTGGAACACACCTTGTAAATTAAACTTGTATAAAACATACTTACAAAAAATTTACAATAAATCCATATATAAATCCATATATATCCATATATATATTAAAAGATTAAAAATAATTAATTTCTAATTTATTTTCAGTTCCTAAGACATTTTATGGCGGAATCAAAAATGAAAACAAGTTAAGTTCCATCTGAATCGGAGCGTTCCCCTTAAAGTAGATTTGCGGCCTTAATCTAGTTAGTCTGAAACCTGAAGAAGAGGCTGTTCCATCGCCCTCAAAATAAATATAAACATCACAAATTTTCTCCCTACCGATGCCAACAAGTCCAAAAGTAATGGCATAATCTCAAAGCTTCGTATTATGTTACAAATTCTTAATTCAAAATAAAAGGCTTAATAAATTGTTAAAGTTTTTCTAAAGCCAATGTCTTGTTTCGCCTAATATTATATTTAGTTTTTCTACTGAAAATCGTTAATTGTGTTCTGTGCAGCCACAATTATGCTGACAAATGAATAAACAATACAAGTATCCCCAAAAAGATAACAATAGGTACATAAATTTATATACGATCAGTACGACGAAACAAAACGATAGATGTATGTCGATCCGTACGAACAACAAGAGCTTTTGAACTCCAGCAGTTCGGAACATGAAATATAGTATATACACTTGTCTGATCTATATGTGGAGCAAGTTAACTAAAAACCCTTTAAAGCGTCAGTTTTATATATATAGCTGCCATAGCAGTAGATCGGTGCAAAATTCAGATGGGCAACATTTTTCGAGTGTAGTTGTTGTGGCTCCACAAACCAAGCCAACAGGACAACTACTCGATGGCGACGAGGATGAGCATGAGGATGATGATGACGTGTAAAAGGTCAGCAAACGGCGGCACGTAGCAAACAAATGAACTGCAACACACTGCCGCGTAGTCGTGACATCCTGTTCCGTGTCCTTTTCTACTGTTGTTGTCCTTAATGTTGCTGTTGTTGCAGTTGTCGCAATTATTTTTTGTTTCGGAGAGGAATTTTTTGCGCAAGCGCCGCTGACAACACTGACAACACACAAGCCGAACACCAATTCCCTTCGCATTCGCATTCACATTCATTCACTAAAATGCCAAGCAAGCAGTGCTCTCGACTACGCGAAGCCTTATTGCCGTCGGTCGTCCTTGCGTCCTCGTCGTTTTCATATATGAGCAGCTGAAATTTCGACTCTGGCTCACTCGTGCAGCGCACATTGGCCAAGCCACAGCACACGGCCCATAACGGTTCCTGCTAACGAAACCGGAATCCTTCAGCCATCAACGTTGAACGTTCGTGACGAGCCGCGACCAAACAAGCCGAATCGTATTTACCATTTTAGCCGGTCTGAGTGTCGAGTTGAAGTCCTTCAGTCCTTCAGTGGTTGTCCAAGCGGCTTTCTGTGCACTTCGCCGAAAAAGCACGCGCGTTGCCTTTCGAATCACACATTCCTACTCTAAGAACAAAAAGTGCGAAAGGATTTTGGGTCGGAAATGCTAAAAATTCTAATGGCACGCTAAATCACATTATAAAGAAAATTATATGGTGGAAAAAAATTTAAAAAAAAAGAAGAATAAGTAAATTCGTATTTAAATAGCGAAAGGCTTAAACAGGGGCAAATCGGGCGCCTATTTTTTTTCTTGTGTTATTTTTGTTGTGGTTTATCGTGGTACCATTATTATTGTGTTAGTGCGCTTGTTGTTGTAACTGGGCTGCGTGTCTTATGCACGTTCGGGGACTTTGCGGCCCGCGCAAATCACAAACGCAAACGCAAGCAAAGTACAGCAATCATATCAGTGAGTGCTGAGTGTGTGTTTGAGTGTGTCTATGTGTGCGTGCGCCCGAGTGCGTAACTGTGTCCGTGTCTGTGTGCGTGTCTGTTTGTGTTTGTGCTTGTGAGTATGGCAAACACACGGCAATTCATTTGAAATAACACCAACGCCAAAGCAGCGCCAGCAACAATAAAAAAAATAAGACCGACATACTCGTACGTGGCCGCCATTTACGTTTCCCTTTGTCGCGCCGCAAACAACAACAACAACAACAGCAACAAAAACAACACACTCACGCATACTTACGTACATATATACTCGTATATACCGTGTAATTATTTAAGAAGCAGCCGCGCTCAACGGCGGCCATTGTGGCCGGCCACAACATGAGCTACGACAACAACGGCCATAGCTCCTCCACCACCACCAACAACAACAACAAATACAGCAGCAGCAGCAGCAACAGTACCAACAACAAGAAGCAGCAGCTGCTTCTTCTTTTTCTACTGTCACTGTCACTGTCGCTGCTCAGCGCCCATGTTGATGCCAGCAGCGGAAATGACGCTATTTCCGTTGCAACGCAGGACGCACGCACGCTGATGAAACGCGATGTGTCAGCGACCGACAACAACAACAACAATAGCAACAGCAAAAAGCGCGATCAGGAAGATGTGAACGGGGACGAGCACGAGAACGCGGATGATGACGATGACGATGATGATGATGATGAAGCTGTTGTTGGGGAGGAAGCGAATCCGCAGTCACATCAGCGACAGCTCAAGCATTTCAAAGATTTTGATTTTACCGCCTATGACAATGGTAAGTGGAAAGGGTCCTTACAGCAACCCAACACACAACTGTCCCTAAAAAAAACCACACACATACTAATTCATCCGAACTGCTGCTTATAATACTTGATATATGCAGACACCCATACATACTCGTAAGCTGAAACAGGCGTTTAAAAATTTATATAAACCGCTTCCAAAGCAATTAAAGCATAATCCGTTAAAAAATTCAATTAAGAAATTACGTACAGCATTTGTGCGAGTACTCGTATTTAATAAATCCAACGAGGATAAAAAAAATCAAATTGATTTCGACGTGCAGTATATTTAATTAAGGTTTATCTATTCCAGCGCTACAATCAACTTTTTAAGTTTATCGTCACAGAACATGTTGGGGCTGTATTGCTTGGGAAAAGCATTTGCATTTTGAGTGGACATTTTGAGTATTTTTGAAATCCGACACACAAATAGTAAAAGAAATTAGCAGTCACGTAATGTAAGAAATAAAAACCACACACGAATTTATTGAACCCTCAGCACATTTTGTTGGCTTGCCTTTATCTGCCCGAGTACTTCTCTCGTATCTAAATTACTCTTCAGAGTGCAATTATTTTTTTGCCCGCATGTGAAAAGATAAATTTATCTTCATTTTGAGGAATTCGGATATAATTCTGAAACAAACCAAATTCATTAAGCCCCACTTTTATGGGCTGAAATGAAAAACTCTTTTAGAGTGAAACCTTTGAGAGGTGAAATAGCCTTTTGATGGCAGATTTGTGGAGGATTATCCGGCAAGAGCGTTAATCGCCTGAAGGACTTAACACAGTGGGCGAAGAGAGGAATTAAAGGAAAGGGTCTTCGTGACTTCCTATATCCTATCCTATACAACGGAAGTGTTAAGGACTTCTCCCTTATACCCGACCTACTTAATTGTTATATCTGTTTGTGTATGCATATATTAGACAAGTTTTAAATATGGTTCTACCATTATAACAAAAACTATAAAAATGTTTTATGTCCAAAAGCTATATCTAAATAATATCGTTTATATGACTGCTATATGATTTATTATTCGAGAATGTAATATGTGTTCGTCAAAAAGATGCCTCAAAGTTGACTTTTCCTATATAGTACAACGGAAGTGTTAAGGACTTCTCCCTTATACCCGACCTACTTAATTGTTATAAACGTTTGTGTATGCATATATTAAACAAGTTTTAAATATGGTTCTACCATTATAACCAAAACTATAAAAATATTTTATGTGCAAAAGCTATCTCTAAATCATATCCTTTGTATATTGCATTATTCGAGAATGTAATATATGTTCGTCAAAAAGATGTCTCAAAGTTTTAACAAGCTTTGGAGATGTTGTGTTGTATGGATCTATTTCGCCATGAACATAAAATATGCTCTACCATTGCGGATATGGATATTACAAGCTTATAGACAGAAAGCATAACCAAGGTAAAAAGTCCTATCAGAATGCAGAACATTTTATAACTCTATTTTAAAACACCAATTTAGATATATGTTGTGCCTAGAGTCAAGCTACTTTTGGTGATTTTTAGTCCTAAAACTAAATTTTGGGAAATTGCAGCTGTAGGTCTTAGAAAATATCAATCAACGTACTATTAACAACTGCTGTCATTTTTGCACAAAATCTGTTCCGAGCTACATTAAAAAGCACCTTTTCATTTCATATCAAGATCAGATCAATCATAAATTAAAAGTTTTGATTATACTTATAAAGATAAAAAATTCCATTGTTGGTTTCGAAATAAAAGAAAGAAGAAACATTGTAGGTGAACTGATTTGTAGCTTAACTCTATGCAAGTCACTATATTTTTCACGAAACATTGGCAGTCATTTTGTAGCTGAAAAGAACAGCATTTACAAATTTATCTAGGACGCTAGCAACAATTGACTTCTTGATATTAAATCCTTATTAGTTTTTACATTTGTTTACAAAATAAACAAATATAGTATTCATGACTATATAAATGCCAATTTGTACAAGTAATTACATACGAGTATAGTATTTTATAATTTATTCTGGGCAGATCCAGAATCAAGTTCTTTTAAAAGTCGGAGATTTCAGAAATTAAACCGAAATTGGTCAAGACTCAAGATTCGGACAAATTAGAAGCAAAGAATAGAACATTAATAACTTATCTGATATTTAACAAACAAATAAATGTAACAATAAAAGTGCGCCAAAGATGTGACATGAAACGGTTGCAATTGATTGATTTTATTGATAAATAGTATGTAGGTAATTAAAAATTATATTCAAGCACTTGTTTCTGATTTTATGTTAAAAAAGAACAATAAAAATGCACTTATCTGTACAGATGGCGTACTTTACTTTTCATTTCCCAAGAATCGAGAATTGAAGCCAAAACCGTAAACATCAAATCTAATTATGCTTTGACAAATTGGTTTTGTTGTTGTTGTTGTTGGAAGGGATGTGGCACTATTCTGTTACATATCTGATGCAATGACATAATACAAACATTTTATCTCTTATATTTTTAATAGGGAATAGTATTTATTAAACGGTTTGCTTTAGACAAACTGTCATTGTAGCAGATTGGCAAATAATATATAATAGTATAAAAATAACAAAAACAATGCTGATCACCCTCTGGTGGCTGTATTTTCCTTTTGTAACGACTAAATGCAATTTAAATGTCGTTTAGGTTTGACTGCTTTCTTGTTAGTATTCTCCCTCTGATTTCTCCCTTCTCCATCTCGCTGTCTCTCTGTCTGTTTGTCTGTATTTGCTGGGCTCTTTCCGGCTTTACAGAAGTCAATGCATATGCACAGGAACATGCTATATACATACGAGTACACAACCCAACGCACACGCATGAATGGATTCTATGGACATGGCATAACTAACATTTATTTATAACACTTGCAACTGCAAAATGTAATTCTGTCGAAATTCCACACACACACACGCACACACAGTCACTCGTAGGGATGGTAGGACAAGGAATTACAAGGCCTGCTCCCCTTCGATTTGTTTGCAATACATTTTTGCCTGCCAATATGCTTAGCTCTTTAAACGCCGTCAGATTTCCATTTGTATGCGTGTCCGTTTCGGCATCCGTGCGCGTGTCTGTTTGTTTGCTTAAAAGCAATTAAATTTGAAAACACTTTATACACACGCACACACACTCACAAATGCATATGCATATTTATTTATTTATGCAGATAGACGACAACTGCAACAGTTATACAAAATTGATAATAATGCGATAATTGCACTTGCAGTTGTCACTGCGGCAACAACATTTAATACTTGCCACTTATGCCACGCACATATACACACACATACACATATACACACACACACATACGCACATTGCCACACCACCGAAATATTTGAGTGACAGATTTGGGTTTGTCCTGTTTACATTAAACCATCGAGCATTTGTTTTCGCCGCCAGTTTCGATGCAATTTTTGACATTGCCGCAGATAATAATGCGCATTATGCACATTATGGATTTGAAACAACTATGTCGGGCATTTGTAGTTCCTGCCAAATCGGCCAGTGGAACGAATCCTTCATGAAAACGCGCCATAAAATCGCACCAGCTTTCAAGCATGAATTTAATTGTTGTAGCACTTTTAAGGCAAGAAGTAGTGCTTTTTTAAACGACTTCAAAATAAGAGGAGGTTATCAATTCGTCTGTACTTTTTTTTAATAAATTAAAGTTACGACTCAATTTTCGAAAGCTTGTATTTTTACAATTAATAGACGCATATTGGATCATATTTTAAGACGGCTTTACAGCTGATGTACAATGGCTCTCAATTCATTTCCTTGGCAACTTAGCGTAACTCAAAAGAGTGTTAGACTCCAAGGACGACATACTATACTTTGCTAGTGAATTACAAAGTTGAAACAGAGTCCAAACAAGTTTGTTCCATGGCTTATGAGTTCGCTGCCGAATCACATAACTGTCATCGAAATCTCAGAGTTACCAGAAAATCCTATATATGAGTAATAAAAATAAGATAAACTAATTAGTTGAATTGAGTTATATGTCCAATTGTTGCACAAAAGTAACAGGAATAGATCGTTCATAGGTATAACCATTGAAAGCAAAGTTGAACTAAGATTAGTTTTTTGAAGTCATTTAGAAACCAATGCACTTTGCATTTTATACGTGAAGCGGAACCCGAACCATACTTAAGTCTTATTTGAAATTAAATAAAAAGCGTAAAACTATAAAGATATGTAATAACTTTTAATATAATTATTGAACGCAATTACGAAAGTTTTTGTTAATTACTCTTTGTATGTATTTTGTATTCGCGTGCTGATCGAACGTACACATAACTTATATTATTTATTTTCATTAGTTTCTAGTTGTTTATATGTTTTTTTATACCTTTTCATGCAGTTACACTTTTTTAAGATCGAATAATAGGCACATTCACTTTTTTGTTTCTTAAAGTACCATAAGCAACTGGAATTTCAGTCAATTTTGAAAACCAAAAATACTTCCTTAGGCAGCACTATTTTGAATGTACACTAATTATGATTATTTAAAAACTGTTTAGAGGTACAAAGGATTGAATTGCCTGTATTTAACATTAGTTGTGAATCACTTTTCTTTAAAGAGAATGAAAATCTAAAGAAAGTACAGCACACTTTTAGGAGCTTAGCTGCATTGAATTGTTCTCCAATAAAACACACTTTCTGCAGAAATTAGAGTACAACAGTCGAGACAAATGCTGTAATTTATTAATTTAATTTATTAAGAATATAAGACTACTATAAAATACATGCATATGTACATACAAAAGTAGCGAAGCTAAAGTAAATCCGTTTCATGATTTGGAAAAATAGAAAAAGAGATGAAATAGAATGCTGGAGCATGAGAATTCAAAACTTATATACTTATAAACGTACATTCATATAAATTCAAAACCTATATACATACATAAGTCCCGTAAAAATCAATTGGCTTTGGCTCTCAAATTCGGTACTTAATATAAGAAGTACGAGTAGT